CTTGAACCTTCTGAAGTATATTTTATAAAGGTTGCACTATCTTCGAAAAGTCTTTAATAAACTTGGGATAAAATCCTGCATGTCCAAGAAAAGAATGAATTTCGCTCATAGTTATGGGGTAAGGAAGTGAGCGCGTAACGTATGTTTTTGCTTTATCAACAGAAATCCCTTTTGAAGAAATAATATGGGCTAGTATGAACCCCTTATCAACCATAAAATAACATTTTTCGTAATTTAAAACAAGGTTAAATTCTAGGCACCGTCTAAAAACATTTATTAAATTTAATAAACATTCATTAAATGAATTATCATAAACAGTGAAGTTATCCATGAAGACTTCAATACCATTCTCAATATAGTTAGAGAAAATACTAACCATATACCTTTGTAATGTAGTAGGTGCATTGCATAGTCCGAAAGGCATACGTCGGTAAGCATAGGTGCCAAAGGGATATGTGAATGTTGTCTTCTCCTGATCTTCTGGTGCTACTGAAATCTGTAAAAATCCTGAAAAGCCATCAAGACAACAATAATGAGATTTACAAGCTAATTTTTCTATCATTTGATCTATAAATAGAAGAGGCAAATGCTCTTTTAAAGTTAATGATTTCAACTTCTTGTAATCGATGCAAACTCTCTATCCATTTTGAACTCTTGTTGGAACTAACTCACCTTTCAAATTTTCAATTATCATAACTCTGGTTTTCTTCGAAACCATATGGACTGGACTTATCCAATTACTGTCTGAGATTGGGTAAATTACATCTGCATCAAGAAGTTTATGGATTTCCATTTTCACCACTTCTATCATAGGAGGATTCAATCAGCGTTGTCATTCCCTTGATGGTTTTGCTCCTTCTTCAATCTTGATTTTCTGCATGCAAGTCAAGGGGCTAAGTCCCTTGATATCGGCAATAGTCTAACTGATTGCCTTTTTATGTTCTCGTAACACTGTTACCAAGTCATCCTCTTTTTTCAATAACTTCCTTGAGATAATAAACAACAAATTTTTGTTTTCCCCTAAAAATGCATACTTCAAGTGCTCCGATAATTCTTTAAAATCAACATGAGGTGTATGTATAACAGAAGGCAACAACTTAGGATTTGAAGGAATAAAACATGAATAAGAATTAACCGAAAAGATTTCTTCAAACTCCCTGGTCTCATAGTCAAGTTCTTCCAATTCCCTGTAAAGATTATTGACAAAGTTATGTTTTATAAATTTTTTAACAGCATGCTCAACGAAATCTACAAAGTTTATACTAGCAACATATCAGGATAACACACTGCTTTGTATACATCAAATTTTACGATATCACCATCAAACTCCATTGTAAGAATTCCACTTTTTATATCGATCTTCGTATTTGATGTGCTAAGGAATAGAAGACCCAAAAGTATCTCAGAACAAGTATTTTTTCAGTCATTTTCCTTGTCAATGACATAGATCAAAACCGCTAGAAATATAAGATCATTTACCTTAACTAAGACGTCTTCCAAGTGTCATTCGAGATAAATTATCGATCGATCCACCAGTTGTATTGTTATTATTGTACCCTTCAAAGGCTCATTAGAAAGTAAGTTGTACACAGATAAAGACATTATATTAATAGAAGCTCATAAATCACATATTGCACGTTTAATTCCAACTTTACCAATTTTGCAAGGTATAACAAACATACCTTGATATTTTAACTTTAGTAGAAGCTTTCATTGGAAAACAACTGAAACATGTTCACCTAAATTCACCTTTTCTATTTTAGTAAGCCTTGTTTTTGTGGTACAGATGTCTTTAAGAAATCTAGCATGCTTTGGTATTTTTTGGATTACGTCAAGGAAGGGTATGTTGGTTTTAACCTTTCAGAAACTTCTAGAATTACTTTCTCTTCAGCTTGTTTGTCACTTTTTACTAACATGTAAGGAAAAGGTGGTGGAGTTTCATATGGATATGGTGTCAAATTAGGCTTTGAAATTTCTTTCTTCTTTTTCTGGGGATTTGCGTCAATCCCCTTTTCCTTATGAGGTTTTGTGCCAACTACTGCTTCTTATACTTGGGATTTCAGATCTTCTTCATTCTTTTATGGGTTTGCACTAACATCCTCTGGGACTAGTTATTCAACAATGTATCGCTTTGAAAGATGATGGTGCTAGCATTTTCCCTTGTGATTCTAATCTTCCCACGGTTTGGGCCAGTTGGCTCATTTGTTTATCCAATTCTTGTAAATGAGCCTCGGTTTGATTTTTGAATTTTCATGGGACAATGCCAACCATTCAACAATGGATTCCAGAGAGGACTTTTGTGGCTAAAACATTTGTGGGGCCTTTACTAATAGGCTTGATTTTACCTTGAGTTTTGCCCATAACTCATATTTGGATGGTCTCTCCATTCCAGATTATAAGTATTTTAGTATGGGTTATATGGTCTCTGGAGATGTCCTGAAAAGTTCCCTACAGTATTTTCTTTTGCGCCAACTTCCTCATGAATCATTGGACAACAATCTGTCGGATGATCTGACATTGTGCATATTTCGCATACTTTTGTTAATCCAATTTTTCTTAAAACCAAATAATTAATTACATCAGTTACTTTATCAATTTTATTTTCTAAGGAAATAGTACTTATCTCGTGAACCCATCGGCCGGGTTCAATTGAAGTGCCAAACTGCTGAGAGTTGGTAGCCACTGTCGAAATTAATTCCCTTGCTAAAACTGGTGTTTTGTTCACAAGAGCTCCTCCACTAGCAGCATATATAGTTTTCATCTCCATTGAAAGCAACCCTTTATAGAAATATTAGAGGAGTGTTTGCTCGGATAATCCATGCTGTGAACAGCTTGCACAAAGTTTTTTAAATCGCTCATAGTAATCGTAAAGAGATTCTCCATCTTTTCATCTTATTCCCAGAATTCTTCTCCTTAATTCACTTGCTTTTGCTGCTGGGAAAAACCTATCAAGAAAAATCTGAACTAAATCAGCCCAAGCATTTATAGAATTGGGAGGTAAATAAAATAGCCATTATTTGGCTAAACCAGATAAAGAAAAAGGGAAAGCTCGTAATTTTATTTGGTCTTCAGATACTCCATGAGGTTTCATGCTTGAACATACCATATGAATGTTTATGTGGACACTCACTGGTCCGTTTTCAGCATAAACGGAGTTGCGCCTTGAGAAAAAGTGATGCGTAGAGGTTGTTGTATGACAGGTGTCGCAGCTAACAGTCGAATCGTCTGATCTGTCATTTGTTCTGGCGTGTTTTATGCGCCTAGTGTATCTTTGGTTATCAGTTCTTCGTTTGTATCAAAAGAAGATAATCCTTCCGGATTTAATTCTGAATCTAAATGCTCTAATTGTTCTTGTTTCGTTTCCTTCTTTTATCTCGAAGTGTTTTTGCGTGAATTCGCCTGGCTCGAGCTTCGATTTTTGGATCAAATTATACCAAATCACCTAGATTACTTGTGGTCATAAACAAAAAAGAAACAACTTTATCATTTACTTTAGCCGATGTCATTGGCAATGACACCAATTTTAACAAGTGTTGTTTTACTCTAAAAATAATTTCGACTTCTTAAAAATAAATAAAGAAATATAGTAGAGTAGGGAAGCAGGGTCGGTCCACAGGGACTCTAGTGTTTCTGATAAAGTGAACTTTCTGATTTAGAAAAGGATAAGATAAGGTACAGTTTTGGATGAGATTGAATAGGAAGTTTAAAAGTTGTTTTTAAACTAAAAAATAAGAATTAAATAAAGAAATATGAAATTAAATTAATAAATCTATTAATTAATCTTTTCTTCGGTTATTCACCTGTTACAGTCTGCAGAGCCCAACCCCTGTAACTTGTTTTTCTCTCTTGTGAACAGATAACCCAAAATATATTTTTGGATATGAGTCCTTTATGGAGACTAACTACGACTATCGTCGTTAGCGCCAAACTATTTTATAGATATGGAAAAACACTACTCAGACTATATTGCCTCAATGAGAATCAAGCCCGATCTCAATTTCCCTTAGAATAATGCCGCTAAGTGTGTTCACAGGAAGTCAAACTTGCTACCAACCGATTCTTCCTCCCAACTATAAATCAGAATAACTTTCGAATCAACGAGCTCTTTTTGATTTGAAAACGTTTTGATTTTAAAAAGATAAGATGATTACCAATCTTATTCCTTCAAAAAATTGAGAAAATAACTCGAAGTTATTTTAGTGCTTTTCAATCCTCACAATAGGGATTGAGTCATCGCTTCAACTCTTGGCTATGGAGAAATTAGCTAAGTATGACAACCATACTTAGCATCTTTGAAAATAAAAATAAAAATAAAATAAAGAACTTTGAAAAAGAAAAGAAAAACATTGATTAAAAACTAGAGAAAGAAGAAGAATGATTTCTGAATGTGTTTCTAGGTTTACCCTAAGAGGGTATTTATAGCCTTTAAAATCCTAAAAATAAGGAAAATATAATTCCCAAAATAAAAAGATAATTCCTAATGAAAATATTTAAACTATTTAAACATGAGTTTAACTTAAATTTGAATTGCAAAAACATGTGGCTGATCCATTCGTCTTTCTAGAAGCACTGATTGGACCTTCTAGAAGGTGCTGAGTCATCGCCTTGTCAGATGGTTTATGCCCTGAGTCAGGCCCACTAATCCAGCCTTGATTCTGTAAATAAGAAAATTACATAATTATATCCTTTTAGTGAAATTTCCAGTATATAGTATCTTGCACAAAAAATTAATCAAAACGAAAAAATCAACCAAAAAAACTAACAAGTAAGGAGCAATTTAAATTCGAAATAATAACTAAATAAAGCATCTATCAGTCATGTTGTAGGAGGAGGCAACTGTGAATGGATAAGGACAAGGTTAGAGTGATTAATTAGTGAAAGTGGCCCACCAAGGTGTCCAACTAGAGAGCATTCTTGGGATTAGCCAACTATTATCGAATGTTAATGAAGGGTATTCCAAAATTTACACACATTTAACTGAGTTACTTAAGAACGATAAGATGTGGGAATGGATCACAGAGTGTTATAAAGCTTTTGAGAATATGAAAGAAGCCATGGTGAGTGCGTTAGACTTGGTGTTGCCAGATTACACCAAGTTTTTCGAAGTTTACACCGATGCATCTGGTGTTTCCATTGGTGGGGTCCTTATACAAGAGGGACATCTGATTGCATATGAAAGTCAAAAGTTTAATGAGACTGAGAGAAAGTACTCAGTTCATGATAATGAGATGATCGTGGTGGTGTATTGTTTATGGACTTGGCAAAACTTTTTCTTGGTTCCAGGTTTGTGGTTTTTACCGACAACATTACAAATAGTTATTTTCTCACCCAAAAGAAGCTTTCTCCTAAGCAAACTCGGTGGAAGAGTTTATTGCCAAGTTTAACTTTTCCATAGAGTAAAACCGAAAATGTGAATTGTGTTGTGGATGGATTAAGTTGGAGGTATGCCATCAAGATTGTGAAGGGATATTTGATCGAGAGGATCGCTACGAACAAGGCTTTGATTGAGGGCGCCAAGGAGGGAGAACCAAGAAGTTATGGATCGAGGGGGAGTTACTTTATACTCAAGGGCATCATCTTTAGGTGCCTCAGTATGGGAAGTTACGTAAGGAGCTTATGAATGAATGCCCTGATTCGAAGTGGGTGAGACATCGGGAGTTGATCAGAATTTAGCACTACTTGCGGAGTAGCACTATTGGCCACACATGACAGAACATGTGCAAGCCTATGTGAGACCATGTCTTTTGTTAAAACAAGATAAGATTGAGATGAAGAGATTGACTAGATTTTTGCAACCTTTTCTCATTCCCGAGTAACCATGAGAGAATGTCTCTATGGATTTTATAGTTGGTTTGCCCCACACTGATGGACTTTCAAATATCATGGTTGTGGTTGACATGTTTTCAAAGTATTCAAAGTTCATTCTGACGTCCAAGGTATGTCTAGTCGATGAGGTTGCTCGACTTTTCCTCAAACAAGTGGTTAAGTGTTGAGGAGTGTCAAAGACTATCATTAGTGATTGGGACACATGATTCACTAGGAGGTTCTGGACTGATTTGTTCAAGCTCTTAAGATCGAGCTTTAATTCTTCCATCTTCATTCATTCACAAATCGATGGAAAACCAAGAGAGTTAATGCTTTGTGAGAGATTTATTTGAGGCACTATGTGAGTGCCACCCAACGTGTCTAGCCAAATTTGTTGGATGTGGCTCAGTTTTCCTATAACTTACAACGAAGTGAGGTGACAAACCAAAGTTCGTTCGAGATCGTGACCGGGCAGTAATCGTTGACACTCAATATGATTGCTACCAAGGATGAGGGGTCAAATCTAGCAACATATGGTTTTGCCAATGAGTGGCAAGAGAATCATGACATAGCCCAAGCATGTTTACACAAGGTGGAGAAACAACCAAGAAATGGGTAGATCAAAAGATGAGGGACTTGAATTTACAGGTTGGTGATCTAGTCTTGCCAAATTGATTTGGATCTTCCGTAACTTGACAATGAACAAAAGGCTTATACGAAGATACGAGGGTTCATTCTAAGTTATGAAGCGGGTAGGCAGTATGGCCTGTAGATTGGAATTGGCTCCACCCATCCGAGTTCATCTAGTGTTCCATGTTAGTTTTCTTAATTCGTACCATCATGATGAGGAGGATCCAAATCAAGGCAATTCACCCAAGTACTAGCCAGAGTGAAAGTCTCTTATGATAAGGAGGTTGAAGACATATATACGGAAAGAGTTATTTGATGACTAGGAAACCACCTAAGGCATGAGTACTTTATTTTATGGAAGGGACTTCCAGAGAGTGAAGGGAGTTGGGAGCATGCCAAGGGACTTTGGCAATTCAAGCCAGAGATAGACCAATACCATACAAAACGAGTGATGAGGGCGTCACTAGATCCGGTGGGGAAGAATGTCACAGAATGCGAGCCCATGACTGAGGTCACCATGAAAGAAGATGCCTAAGACTACTTGAGTGGCATTTTGGTCCTTGCTAGACCCATCCATACTAGCCCATTCCATGGAGATGAAAAGCCTTGCACGATTATGGCAAGTAGATCACTTGGTTATTGCATGATCATCTTGATTCTTTCCATAATCTTTGTAATCTTCTATCCAATCCATGTTTTCAATAACTTTGTATAATTTCCTTAGATGAATAGATCTTATAATTATGATTCCTTAGTTTAGTCATTCATTGAGGGGAGCCTCCACTATAAATAGAAGCATCTCATCCTCATTTGTACTCACTTCTTCATTTTGAGAAATCACAGAGCATTCTCTCAAAGTTCTCTTGTCTTGTTCTCTTTCAAAGTTCTTTACTTCTGTTAGAATCTAAGTATCTTTGCTTCAGTTGTTTTCAGGTCGACCGCAATCATTAATAAAACGACTAAGGCCTCACGTTTGAGGCTTTTGAAGTTCCAAGGGTGTGATATTAATGAAGTATACGATTTTATGCACTCGTATGAGAATATCAAAAGGGGGGATGAGAATCAAATGTGGAAATAACAAAAGAAATTTGACGTAGGGGAAATTTATTTTCTTTTTACATTTCTTGATATCGTAATTTCTTGACGATCAATGAAATAAATGATTACTTTCACTTCCTCTAATCATGTTGAGATTTGAACTATCAATGAAGCTAGTTGTGAATGTGTGTGGCTAAGTATTGTAATTTATAAAATAAAAAAGTCTATGATTTATGCTTATAAAAAATTCTGACAATGTTATATGAAGATAATACAACTTACATCATTCAACATAAAACATGATACATAAAAGATGATAAAATAAAACACACATCACCAAAAAAATTATTCGCTCATGAAATAAAAATAGTGAAGACATCGATGTTCAAAAAATTCGATCAAGTGAAAATTCGACATACTTATATACTAAGACGCTTCTTACTACTACATTTGAGAGGTTCCTTTTCAATATTGGATTGCATCATGTTAAAGATCTTCAGATGTGCATGCGTTAGGGCAAATAAATACATGTTGTACTCTTTTTTTTCTTCATAAAGGTTTTGTCCTACTGTGTTTTTCTAATGAGGTTTTAATGAGGCGACATGTTATGCATATTCATTCATTAAGATTTTTTTTACATGATTTTTATCTTAGTAAGATTTTAATGAGACACTTTATCTTCATAAACACCCAAGTCAGAATGTTATGAATATTTATTTATGTAGATATTTATGTATAAGATATGGTTTTTTATATTTTATCATTGTTCCTTTAATATCCATTAGTGTTAGAGTTATAGATGTTGGAGAAGTTTCTCAGTATACTTCATTTTTTTCTCGAAAAAAATTGATTGTATTCATTTAAACATAACAAAGTTAAAACCCCAAATTGTGAATCTCATTAAAACTCTCCCTAAGCCTACCGGAGGAAAAGAGTTCATCACAAATGGGAAGGAAGTTAAACAGCAACATCAGAACAAAAACACCACATACTAAACAGGATAAAACGCAAATCTACCCCAGCATAAACGAAAGCCCCTTAACGCTTCCAAACATCCTCGAAACTTCTCATAACCACCACGCTTTAAATCATTCATACCTTCTTAAGGCTCCCTGTTCTAAATACCATAAAAAATAACACCCGTACTAAACAAACCAATCGATTGACCATTAAAAAATGAACCACCACCTCCAAGGTCAAAAAAGAAATGAAAATAGTCTCCACTAAACTCACCATAGGTGGTCCAAACAAATAAAGTTGCAAACATTTTGCATACAGGAACGCTAAACCAATAAACTACAGCTGCAAACATGCTACTTACACCAAAAATAAAGATGTCGCACGGACACAAACGCTCCAAAGACTAGAAGCTAGCTTCATCTTGCCCTATCCCCCATCCAAAATTTACTAAATGACGCTAAGCGAGCACGATACGAGATTGACACCGAACTCTGCAGCTAAATTTTCGATGAAGAGACTGATCTCGAAGAGAACCCCCAACTATTCTACCATTAAACAACCTGAATTTAATATTTTAAAATATGATTTACAAAATATAAAGTTACCTTAAAATTTTATTTTTATTAAATTGTTTTAATAATTACTTTTAGCAAGTATAACCTTTATCATTAAAATTAAAATAATAGTATGAAAGTTCATGGATCATTTTTATTAGACAGCCTCTAATTTAACACATTAATAATATAATTTATATATTATATAATTTCTTAAAAAATTACACATAATGCTAATATAATTAATCTATACACCAATATATATGTATATATTCCAAATTAATGGTCCAAATGTTTTATTTAGTTTCAAGAAATAAATTGACAAAAATTATAATTTTAAGAGATAAAAGTATTTAAAAATTAACATCCTGTTGAAGATATAACATCACATAAAAAATATAAAGTAATACGATTTTCATATTTTTAAAACAATATCAACTATTGAAAATCTTGCGTCAGCATACTAAATAAAAATGTTATAAAATTGACAAAATAATTTTATTTAAAAATCTTGTATTACAAAAATTAATCTTAATACTATCCATATGTTATCTTAAAGATATATTGGGACATTAGAAAAGATAGATTACTCTATTGTTTTGGTTCAACATTCTAAGCATTTATGTAATACCCCAAATTTTGCTTAGTGACCAAAATATACGTTTTAAAAGTTAAGTGGCCAAAGTATAAAATTGGGAAAAGTTCAGGAACATAAGTGGTAATTTCCCAAAATAAATTTTATTTCATAAATAGATAGTTTAATTTTGAGAGTGGGGTTTTATTGAAATCAGATTCTTGATCCGGAATTTATGTTGTAAACTAGAAAGGGTTAAAGTCTAGTAAGAAATCGGTAAATCGGATCAAATAAAAATTTCGGGAAAAATTGAAGGATGATAAATTAGGCTTAAAAATATTTTTTCCACATGTTAAAATGATATAAAATAATATAGATAATTGGATTTGAAGATTTATTTCCATGTTTAATTTGGATCGTTGGATCAAAGTGGAAAAATTGTAATTTTTAGAAAGTTGCTCGGTAAAATTGAAAAATGGAAACATATTTTGTTCATCTTTGACTTTGGAAAGATGATAAGGTTATGTAGCTTGGTATTATTTTAAATATCAAGTTTCATTAATGACAAAATGAACATTTTTCATTAAATGAATATTTTATTCATTTAAGCTTAAATAAAGGTTAAATTAACATGAAATTACATGAAAATTTCATGAAACTTAGGCCATTTTTCAGCTCCATTTCGTTCTCCCCATGACCTAGGTAAGAGAAATTTTATTTTACATTTTTTGAGCAATTTCCTTTGGATTTTGGGTCATGTCGTGAAATAGAAAATTGTTATATTCGAAAACACAATCATTTGGTATCATTATTGCTTGCTAATTTGGTTTGTGTTCAGAGATCCGAAATTCTAGGGTTTATGGAATTGATGAAGGATTTTTTATGTTTTGAGGTTGTAGAATCAATTTCAAGCATGATTTATGATTAAAATCAATTATACTAAGCTATGGGTAATTTCAGCCTAACCCTAATCTTGGAGGAAGTTTATGTTATGATGAAATTTGATTAGGGCTTTGATTGTAGAGATTGTATAAGGTTCAATCGAGGTTGATTTCATGCTTGAATCGAATCAAAATCGAGTAAAATCATGAAAACCCTAGTCTTGGGTACATAAATCATTCAGTCTTGAGTAAAGAAGTTGAGAAAAATTGTAGAAAAAATTCTCATGGGTTAGAAATGATATTTGAAAGGTTCTACAAGCATTAGAAAAAATTTGGGCCAATAAGTAATTTTGTGAAGTTAGGGACCAAATCGACAATTATGAAAAGTTATGGATTGTTTTATATTTGTTCAATAATTGTTTTACTATGCTGAAAATTACTATTTGGACTGAAATTGAAGTTAGAATGTTAAGTTTAGCCATTTTGGAAAGTTAACAAAGTTTGAGTGCTAAATGGTAAACATTGAGAAAGTGGGTGGATTAAATGGTAAATATGGCATTGTTGAGGTATTTGGGCTGAAAGTTTAATGTTGGAAATTATTGGGCTTATTTGGGCCCTGAATTGAAGAATTAATGATAAGAGCTCAATATGAATGAAAAGAAAAAAATTAAGATGAATTTTAGAAGAATTTGAAAATAATAGTACTTTTGGTAGTATTATTATCAAGTATAAAATGATAGTAAGAATACTAACATGTATTATATATTTGTATATGTTTTGTATGGATGCTTGTATAGATCGTGATCGAACTCGTGATATGAACAAAGTGAAAGGCAAGAAAAAAGTTCAAGAATAATTGGATTTCGATAGTAAGGCATAATAGTGAGGCATACCAGGTGAGTGTATTTATTATGTACATATATGATATGAGGACGACTAGCGATGAGACAACCTTGAATGTTTTTATAAAAGCATGTTTTACTATATTTTTGAAATATTTTCATAAAGTTATTTTATGAATAATTTTACGGTATAAATTGTCCTAAAATAGATGGATGAACTTTTATATTATTTTAACAACTATCGGTGTTTCATAATAAATGTTTAATCTACGATTTTGATTTAAAGGCCTATTGCATGTGCATTGAGAGTCATAGGTGCATTTTGACATACTTGGAGTATGATGGTTATCGATCGATTTTGTTTAATGCATATGTTGCATTTTCGTATTAGTACCTTTGTATACTTTGCACTATGTGTGCATTCATTGTATTCATAATGAGTTTTTGAATTATCATTTCGATATATTAATATAGTGTCGCTATTACTACAGTACCTATACTTTCGTTTAGCACTTATGTGCAACTCATGTACCTTGCATTCTCACTTGACATACATTGAGCTATAAATGAGTACTTTTGAATATATATTGATTGATAGGTATGTTGGGCATACTAAATATTGTTTCGAATGTTATTTGACGAAAACTTAACTTATTAAGTAAGTTTTTATGCATTTATTTGATCTT